CAGGAAGGTAGGGCTGTGTTGGATGGGACACGAATCCAGGGGGCATGCAGGCCTGGCCTGCAGGCTGGGCTGGGATTTGGGGAGCCGACATATGGACAGGAAGTGGGCTCTGAGTGATCTTTACCCAGCTTTGACTCCTGGATTTTATGCCATCATTGTTTGGCTCTTTGTTAGCTCCCATGACCTGCTCTCAGGCCACATTGTTCCCCGAATCAGAAGTGGTGGGACAGCTGCTTGGCTCGGCTGGACTTATTACCTCGACTGGGTTTCCTAGGAGTCACACAGAATGTTCCAGATACCTCCTCCTCTGGGCTGTTTTGCTGCAGGGTGGGTGGGTGAGCTGACGTGTGGTTCCAACAGCTCCAGCTAAGGGCTTGGATGGAGGGGCGATGTAGAGGGGTGGGGGCTGCAGCTCTGGCCTTGACTCTCCGAGAGTCAGGAATTAATGCCAGCAGCCTCTCTCTTTTCAGTGTCATCTGCCACAGTGGTTGGAAGCCTTGGGGACCTGATAATTAAAGATGACCTTGTGCTTCTGTAAATAGAAAGCCGGACACACAAACCTGTTGACTCTGTACTACCTGCCCCTCCCCCTGAAGCCTGACACTCTTGGCCCTGACATGTGGCCTTGGGCCTCCTGCCCTCTAGTGGACGCTGTGCTCGAAGAGCCAAACAGGCTGGAACAGCTTTCCTCCTGGGTCAGCCAGCTGGTGAAACCCAAAGTGGAGGCTGGAAATCTTGAAAATTCACAAGCCACAGCCTGAGATGTGAAAAGGACAAAACAAAACAAAACAAAACAAAACACCTCCTTCCAGGAAATTAACTGAAGGTCTGCCTTTCCTTTTTGTCCACAAAACAAAACAAAAAACAAAACAAAACACACAACACCTCCTTCCCGAAAATTAACTGAAGGTCTGCCTTTCCTTTTTGTTCACCCTCCACCCCAACCGGAGATCTAAACGAGCCAGTATGAAACCACTTAATCTGCTCTTTAAAAAAGAACAAAGATTCTTTTTTTTTTTCCTTAATAAGTCCCAGGGCCCTAATGGATGGAGAGTGGCTGGTCATGGAAGAGTCCCCATGACCTCTGCATGACACAGCTCCCAGCAACACCGCTCACATCCTCATCTCTGGGAGTGATGTTTCTTGGGCTTATGCCGTGCGCCCCTTGCTGGGCGGTACCAGACTGCCCTGGGATGCCTGATGTTATGTAGGGCTCCGTAGATTCTCGGGAGGGTCATCTGAGGTGTGCCCTCACTGAGGCCACCAAAGGATTTTTGGTCGTGGGGGTAACCACTGCGGATTAGCAGGTGTTTTGGGTCACAGGCCCGGATTCCCACCCCGGGGCTACTGTTACTCTTGCCAGATTTCTTGACAGTTTGCATAGAACTGAAATGCTGCTCCTTGAACTGCTGAGGGAGGAGGAGAATTCGCAAATGACACCAGCAAGAGATAGGCTGGTGGCAAAGCTTTCCCTGACCATACCCTTGAGTCACTGAGAAACTCGGCCTACAGTGGGTGCTCTCTCTGAGTTTTTTTGATGGACGGGGCAGCTGCTCATATGTGTGGCTCGGCTGTGAACTTCCTTCTGGATTTAACGTGTCCTCAAATGGGGCTCACGTAGCCACTTCCAGAGCTCCGTGGGCCTGGCACACTCGGCTTGCTGAGTGCTGGTTGATGGAGGCAGTGAAGGGTCTAGAATATGTCCCTTGCCTTGTCTGATTTCTGGATGCTCCAGGAAGCTGGTTTCTTTATGAGAAGGGACCCTCATCTTGCCCTCTTCTTCTAAAGAAAGTTCTAATTAAGGATTTAGAGAAAGATCCGACCTCGGAAAGGTCCAGGGCTGTCTTGAGGAAGTGGCGGTGATTTGGGCTGCGTGATCTCCCAAGCACAGTGGACGAGCCTTGGAGTCCCCATTCTTTGCCTTAGGCAATCAGCGTGTCCCCTTCATTTCCCTCAGACTTACAGTGACATTGTAGCCAGACTTGGAGCCGTGGCTGCTAGGAGATGATAAGTGATGCCAGAAGTCTTGGTTTTCTCTATTAGGCCACATGCAGTGTCACACACAGGGACAACGGGACAGTTCTCTGCTCAGGGCTTGGGTCAGAGAGGGCCTTGGAAGCCTCAGGCAGAGTTAGGCAGAGCTGCCAAACCCGTACTTGAGTGGCCTCCTGGGGGTGCGGGGCCTGGAGTCCGTGCTGCTCACTACTTGGGGCTTTGGGCAGCAGTGGCCCCTCCAGCTTTGTCTGTTTTGGCCTTAAAATGGCCTTTATGGGAAGAGGCCTTTATGATATAGTTTTTCACCCTCTGGGAGAGGAGGCGTAGCATCTGGGAGGGAGGCATTGGCTTTTCTGATGTCTGCCCAAAGAGACCAGGTCGAGGAAAAAGAAAATGTGAATTTTAAATAGGGCGACATGGACTGTTTTTGAACTGGCAGCAGGCAGCTCCTGGAGAGGACAGGACACAGCCAGCCTCCCCACCTAGGCCCTGGCGTGGGGTTTACCTGGGTGTGCCGCTCTGAGCCCTGGGAGGGCGCATTCCTGGAGGAGCTGTCCAGGCCAGGTTTCCTGGTGCTGGTGGATACGACATTTACCACCGTCTCTCACACGGTGGCGAGAAGCCACCCTCTTGGGTACCCCCTGCCTGAAAGAGAAACTGCCTTCTCCGTGGAGAAGAGACTCTGATCTTAGCTCCAGGACACTGGGGGTTGGGGTCGTAAGGGAGGGTGGAACAAACGCCTCTGGGTTGGGAGAGGGAAAAGCTGGAATGGGAGTGGAGGAGCCGTGCTAGGTGGATGTCTACTAGTCAGTTCAGGTCATTCTGCTGGCGTGGGCCCCAGCGAGGAGGCTGTACCCAGCCTGGCTGACACACCCCATTTGGTGCCCATTGCTGTCCAGGGAAGAAGCCTCAGCTGCTTGAGTATCTTTAGTGAGGTGCGGTGAGCATGGTCTCTGGGGCCTTTGGGACCCAGCTTCCTGCCCTGGGACTCCCAGGAAGGGACCAGTCAGGCATCCTGGACCCACACCTCTCTGTCCTGTCGACCTAAGAGGCGGTGGAGAGGCTTGTGTCTGTCACAGAATCCCGAGCGCAGGCTGGTTTCCTTTATTCTCCAGGGCCCGCTGCCCACGTGGCTGCCCCGGACTTGGTGCTATGGCTGTCCTGGAGCAGGCTTGTCCAGCGCCAGGTCTGGCTGCTTAGGTTGACTGGGCCTCAGACCCTGCCGTTGGGTGGTGGTCAGTTCGGGGGCAGGCTTGACAAAGTGGTGCCCTCCTAAAATTGTCCTGCTGGGTCTGAGAGAGTCAGGACTAATGATCTGAATGCCCTCTGGGCTCCTCTCTGATGCTCTTCGGGTAGAACAAAGTACAGCCCTCTAGCCTCACCTCGCTCCTGCCTCTCCAGTTCATTTTATACCACTCGTGTGAATTATAAGTAGAATTGGGGAAAGGAATTATGAGCTGCTTATGTGGTCTGAGATGCTACTTATTCCTTCATCATCTCTCCTCAAGGCAGGCCTTGGTCTGATGCTTTTCTTTAAGTGGGGAGAACACCTACGTTGTCCCATGTATCAGGGAATGAGCCTTTGAGCTGCCATGGTTCTGGCCATGGAGGGCTCTTGATTGTTAACTCATTTTTTATCAACAGGCTTAACAAAATACTCCCACCGGAATTTTGCACCTGGAATTTTGACCAGTCTCCTGGTCATAAAATTTCGTGAACCTCAAAATTTGATATGAATGCTTTGATTTTAATTTGTTTAAATGTGAAGTTTGACTTTTCTGGATCCTGGCTGCCTTATTGTCCTGATGCTGTCACGCCTGGTTTTGCTGGACCTCCGTTTCTTGATGTCTATGTTCCCACTGGTGCTGTTTGCCCATTTGCCTGCCGATCAGTCCCTGCCCTAAGCAGCAGAGCAGAAGGAAGTGTACATTGAGTGGATCAGAGAATACTTCATATTTTTCTTTGATTTTTTATTTTTCCTTGTTTTCTTTCTTGGTCATTGCCATAGCCAATTTGGCCATGTAGTCCTACCTGATAAAACCGTTCCAAAATAGAAAAGTAGGGAAAAATAATCCTATTCTATTTGGAATTTAGTTTAATCTTAGTCTGCCCACTCATACCCTCAACAAAAAAAAAAAAAAAAAATGACATAAGTAATACGTCAGAAGAGACTGTTCTGGGTTTGGCCGGGCTGACCTCTGCTGTCGTTTGAAGGTCATGGAGGCTGAGCAGACCAAGACAAGGAGCGAGCTGGTACACAAGGAGACAGCAGCCAGGTACAACGCAGCCATGGGCCGCATGCGGCAGCTGGAGAAGAAACTCAAGAGAGCCATCAACAAGTCCAAGTGAGTATGGGCACGAGGGTCTGAGTGTCCCTGGGGCCGTGTGGTTGTGCCCCTCTTCCGAATCTTTTCAACTTTTTATGTGCTTTGCTGTCAGGGACTCGCCTCACCAGAGCCCCTGCCCAGGCTGCCTCTGCCCCACGGCATCCTGTGTAACTCCTATAGGGAGAGGGTGCTTGGCGGGGCTGCTCCTGAGAAGCACAGAAAAAGGAGCTTCAAAAGCAAACCATTACATGGCCCATTGGCTGGGCCTCAGTTTACCTGTCAGTGTAATGGAGAGGAGCGGTCTCTATAACACATGTTCTCCTGGGACCAAGAGCTGATGAAATGGTGCAGGACTGGTTTTAATGGAGTTTTCCCAAGCTCTTCTCACTACCACTCCTGTATGTTTTTATATAGTAATGATCTTGGAGACAAGCCCCCTGCTTTACTCACAGTTGCTGGGCGTCTGAGCAAGAGACAGGACTTGGGATGGTCCAGACCCAACAGCCAGACAGACCTAGAGCTTCAAGGCGGGTGAACAGCTCAAGGATAAAGCACTGGTCTAGTCTTAGTGCCCAGACACCAAAGTTCCTAAACAGAGCCAGGGTCTTCTGGCTGACCCAGAACCCAGGGGACTAGAAGAATGTTCACATTTCTTGTCCTCTCTTGCCCATGACCTGGCTGGGTCTGTAGACTGTCCGATATCTTTAGTCCTAGACAAAACCCAAGAGGACTGACCTGAGCCCGTCCTTTCGGTAGCCCTGCTGTGCTCACTCAGGGAGGGGTCCTTCTCCCCTCCCCTGTTGACCTCAGCAGAGGAGGGCGTGGCTTGAGGCAGCCCCTTCTCCAGCTGTATCTGCTATTCATCCATGCGGAGCCAACCTCCTTAGCCACATTAGCCGCCGGGCACACCAGAGAGGAGAGTGAACCATGGTGCAGGGGCTCCAGGATATGTGTACATGTATCCCCATATCTTAGGTGAGATAGGGGGATATCTCAGCGGTTCTGACTGGTGTCTGTATCCATCAGGCCCCAGAGCTGGGAGCATCACCTTCAGCTCATGGCTTGTCAATTTACTAAGTCCCGGAACAATGACCTGGCCAGCTGAAGCTAATGTCTCCTTATACACCTTGTAGCATTTATTGTTGTCATTGTGTTATAGTACACTTATGCTTTTTCTTCCTTTCACAGGCCTTATTTTGAACTCAAGGCAAGGTACTATGTGCAGCTTGAGGTATGTGTGACCTTGGCTTTGTTGCTTGCTGATGGGATTTTTCTTCAGTCAAAGCCTCTTTTTTGACAGCTGACTTTCAAATGGCATATTTGTTATAAGAGAGTGGAGGGAACACATTCTTTACCGTTTTCAGGCCTTAAAATAGTCTTGGTTGGGTCTTGAGTGGTCTCTGAAGTTCTCCACATCTGCTGTATCGTCACTTTCTGTATCGGACTGGTCACTGGTTCTCAGTATGCTCCTAGAACAGCAACATCACCATCCCCTGGGAATTTGTTAGAAATGCCCATTTTTGAGTCCCACACGCCAGACTCACTGTATCAGCAACTGCTGGTGGAGCCCAGCCATCTGAGCTTTAGCAGGCCCTGCAGGGGATTCTGATGTGAGCTCAAGTTTGAGAACCACAGTGCTGGGAACTAAATGACTAGAATGTGGGACTTCTGCGTGAGTTTGATACCCGTTGTTCTTCCCTGGTGGATTTTATTCTGCCAGTGGTAGTTTCCGGATAATAGAGCTCGAGTTTGTCACCCGGATGGGAGTTGGGGCTGGTGGTGGCTGCGTTTATATGTGATGCATGGACAGCTGTGGTAAGAGTAAACAGGTCCTGAGTCATGCCTCGGGAAAGTCTTTGGAGTGCAGCAATGGGCAGAAAATGTGCTTGAACTTGTCATTCAAAAGCATCACAAGGTGAGTAGGGGCAGCCTTCGCTTACTGAGCTTCCCATTTTCCTGACCAGCAACTAAAGAAGACCGTAGACGACCTGCAGGCCAAACTGGCCCTGGCAAAAGGGGAGTACAAGACAGCCCTGAAGAACCTGGAGATGATCTCGGATGAGATCCACGAGCGGCGGCGCTCCAGTGCCATGGGGCCTCGGGGCTGCGGCGTCGGGGCGGAGGGCAGCAGCACGTCTGTGGAAGACCTGTCAGGAAGCAAACCGGAGCCGGACACCGTTTCTGGTGAGCCGGAGGCTCGTGTGCACTCGGGGAGACGACACAGCTTGTGTGACCTGCTTTAAGGGCCGTCTTGCCATCACAGAGGGGCCTCTGTTGGGCAGGCCTGAGGGCTATTTCAGGTGGCTTAAGATGCTAAGATGTTCCTCAAATCAGAATTCTGTGGTCAATAGTTTGGAAAATGTTACATGTCCACCCCTCTCTGATATTCCGAGTACATATTAGAACATTCCTGAGAAGTATTGCAGGAAAGAAGAGCTAAGGCTTTGGAATTGGGGTGGAGTCAATCCTGGTTTTCCCATCCTTACACGATTTATATCTGTTTCTTCAGCATGCTAAGATGTTCCTCAAATCAGAATTCTGTGGTCAATAGTTTGGAAAATGTTACATGTCCACCCCTCTCTGATATTCCGAGTACATATTAGAACATTCCTGAGAAGTATTGCAGGAAAGAAGAGCTAAGGCTTTGGAATTGGGGTGGAGTCAATCCTGGCTTTCCCATCCCTACATGATTTATATCTGTTTCTTCACCTGTAAAACGGAGAGTATGACAGTACCTACTATCTACTGTGTGGGGTGGTGGTTAGGATTAAATGAAGTAACACTGGCACCGAGTAAGCACTCACTGGTGTCTGACCACAGAGAACTGGTTTTCCAGGGCCACCTGCTAGGAAACTGACACAGGTTTGATGTGCTCCCTTTACGTTAATCAAGAAAATTCCTCCAGCACTGTCTTTGCACACTTTTTCTGTGGAATAATCCTTGTTGACGCTTTCCCAAGCTCTTTTCTCAGGTATTTTAAAATTCAGTCAATTAATGTTTAAGTGCCAGGCTCAAGGTAAAGGAAACTATAATGAGCATCAGTGTGAGGTACTTTTAATAGACATCTCATAAACCCTGTGTAGAGGAGAACACGAAGTTCAGAGAGGTTAAGTAACTTGATCAAGGCTACACAGCAAGTAGTGGAGAAAGGACTGGATTTGAGCCTATTTTCTGTCCCCAACATTTCAGTACTTCTCATCCATGGATGCTTCAGGGCTGGTTTTAAAGATTAAGGGGGAGAAAAGGGGAGTAAAAAAAAAATCTAAAGCAGGATTATGTGCTGGCAGAAGAGGAGAATTAGGCTAAAGAGGCTTTCAGAACATTAGAATGACATGTCTCTGGGCCTTGCTTATTCTGGTCCACAGAATAAGTGAGAGCACTGTAATTTTGTGTATGTGTGTGTTGGGGGGCACATCATGATCTAGGTAGGTTCTTGTCTCTTATGAGATCAGAAGTCACCTGGAAGATGTCTCAACGCATGCTATATGCAGGGCTGTTTCTTCCCGTAACTCCTGTGTTTGGAGAAAGCCCGGAAGTCTGATTGTTTTTGTTGGGGATGCATTACAAAGAGCCAGCCTTCTTCCTATGCAGGTGTGGATCTGTTTGGGGGACAGGTAGAGAAAAGCCCCTGATCTGTGGCTTAGTTCATCTACTTTTAGGCAGTGTCTGGTGATACTGACTTCTAGGGCAGGGGCTAGAGAGTTACTGTATTGACAATGAATATCCATGTGATCCAGAGGCCAGCCGCTTCCCTTCGAGCTGGATTACAGTCTGGTCCTGCAGGCTTGGGGAGGGTTATGTTCCTTTTATTAGGTACCCACGGTGGCAGGGATTCTGCAGTTCCCATGCCATGTCTAGCTGTCCCCCTATAAAACGGAGAGTATGATAGTACCTACTATCTACTGTGTGGGGTGGTGGTTAGGATTAAATGAAGTAACACTGGCACCTAGTAAGCACTCAATGGTGTCTTCTAGAGGTGTTTAAAGGAACTAGGTTGCTATCTGCTAGACCCTGCGTGACTGGTGTTCTCTCATCCTAGTGGCCTCCGAGGCCTTTGAAGATGACAACTGCAGCAACTTTGTGTCTGAAGATGACTCGGAAACCCATTCTGTGTCCAGCTTTAGTTCAGGACCAACAAGCCCATCTGAGACGGCTGACCAATTCTCTGCAGTTGTGAGGCCCGGCAGCCTGGATCTGCCCAGCCCCGTGTCCCTGTCAGAGTTTGGGATGATGTTCCCGGTATTGGGCCCTCGCAGTGAATGCAGTGGGGCCTCCTCCCCGGAGTGTGAGGTGGAACGAGGTGAGTAGCAGCCCTCTCACCAGCAGTCCTGTCCCAGATGACTCACTGCCTTTGCAGCCAGATGTCTGCACTGTTCTAGACCTTCGCCAGGCCTTGGAGCCCCCGGTGCCGTGTTACTGGGTCTGTGTGAATGTGCTGTCAGTGTTGATCACTGAGACAGTTTCCAAGTCCTGTTCGAGGGGCTCCTGGCTCCATAGCTTGGGCTCTGTCTCTCTCATCACAACAGTCCTCTTGACAACCACATGCTAGAGTTTTCTTTTTCCTAGCTATTGAGTATGGCAGGTTTCATCTCTCTAAAGATAAGGAATATATAAAACGCCTTGAGGAATAAAAACAGTAAGCAGTATTGTGACAGAGAACCCTCTGTGATATGAACGGTCAGGCAACACTGGGGAGTCTAGAGGGTTGAGTTGGCTGATTGGCTTGGACCTAAGTGACTCTTGGAATTGTCGATACTCAATAATCTTTACATTTCTATAGGAGACAGAGCAGAAGGGGCAGAGAATAAAACAAGTGACAAAGCCAACAACAATCGGGGTCTTAGCAACAGCAGTGGTGATGGTGGCAAGATCCAAAGCAGCACCTCCCCCGAGGGCCAGGCCTTGGTGAACAGGATGAAGCAGCTCTCCCTGCAGTGCTCAAAGGGAAGAGATGGGATCATTGCTGACATAAAGATGGTGCAGATCGGCTGACGGATCCAAGGTCTTGGCCCACGTGCATATCAATATTTATACATGAAACTGTGTGGAGAACATTGTGCCAATAATCATTTAACACATGCCAAATCGTAAGCGTTTACTCTAAACTGCACTAATGAAGTTTCAGTGACCTGAAGGCTGAAGATTTTACTTCGGGGTAAGAGCTCTTGGGCTGGTGTATTTATTTCAGAGCAGAGCTGTTGTTGCAGGTGGACTGTGACCAGGTTCACGACTTTTGTGGTACATTACCTGTAATAGTGTTATGGAAGCAATAACTAGTTCCTATGAAAGAACCAGAGCCAGGAAAGGGGCTGGGAAGCTGAGCCCAGCCGGGGTCAACAGCTTGCTTCTCTTCCCCTTTACTCACCTTCAATTTGGGAAAAGGGAGATGTTCTCTCCTTTATATCCTAGGGGATATAAATGAAAATAACACAAGACAAAACCCAAACATTCAAAACACACCTTTTTGACTCAGCAAAGGCTTAACATTCAAGAACACAATTCATTTTCATCATACGTGGTGTTCAGAAGGGGCTTTAAAAAAAAGTATGTGTTGGACACCCATTGAAACCAGTTTCTGTAAAGGTTACTATGAACTGCACTTTTTAGGGTGGGAAAGGTGAATGCCAGTTGTGGGGATTGGGGGTGGGGTGGGGTGAGGGTAGCAAGGACACATCATAGAAAGGGATTTGTGGCTGTATGAGAGAAGGTTCTATAGCATGAACCTTCTTCTACCAGCCAAGGGGACTTATTTCTAAGAGAAGTGCATGTAAAGAATGGTCGCCATTGTTATTCTAGATTGACAAGGTGTTAATTTCTCTGTAGGTTTTAACTTTAAAAGTGAAAAGTTACTTAAGGGTCATGCTGCACCAGTAGTACTTAGAGAAACTTGTTTCTTGAAGCTAGGAAAGGGAGTAGGCGTGTGTTGGCCTAAGGCTGTTGAATAGATGCAGTGGGGTCTGTTATGCTAGTAGTAGTGTTAACACTGCTTTTCTTTGTTTTCATGGTTACACATATTTAAGAGCACTGTATTTTATTTGTTAAAAAGACTTGGCATTTCCAAAAGGAAAAAAAGCCAACCTCATTTCCAGTTGTTTGTTAATTCTGTCACAACTTGCATACTTTAGTCATTTGTAAATCTCTTCATACTGTAGTGTGTTCTCCTTTTTTAATGATACAGTATCCTGATTACAAGGTTATTTTGTACTTGTCTCAATACCTTGAGTGTAATAAAAATGGCTTAAGAAAATGTGTAACTTTCTATGACTTCAAATAAGAAATCCTGATGTTGACTAAACTTCTAGGCAACCTTCTTGCCATAGGAAGAGCATGGAATGCAATTAAGGTCATGGATCTTAATAATTTAAGCCCCAATTACCAACATGTGAATTAGAATTCCACTTTCACTGCTACAAAGCTGAGCAATGAGGAGACACAGTGGCAGAAGAAATACAAGGTGGATATACTGGAGTGGTTCTCAACCTCTGGTTCACCCTGGGATCTCCCAGGAAGTTTCAAAAATACTGCTCTCTGGTCTTAGCCCCAGAGGTTGACTTAATTGATTTGGGGTACATTTGGGCACTGGGCTTTTAAAAAGCTCCCTAGGTGATTCTATTCTTTCTATATTGGTCTAGCCAAAATTAATCATTCCTTTCCTTATGTAACTGTAGCAACCGTGTTTGGAACTCTATTATAGAATTCAACATAATTATATTAAATTGCTCATGTATAGGTGTCTTCCATTAGAGTTTTGAGGGCAGGGATTAAGTCTTCAGTTTGCAACTACTTTTAGCACAAGAAGTTCAAATCGTATATGTTTATATATTTCTTATGCTTTAGATTTCTAAAAAGAGCCACAGAAAATTAATCCAACTAAAATTAATATCAAAAGCATTAAATATTTACTAAAATGAAATCTCACTAGTTTAACAATCTACCACTATCCTGAATGTTAAAGAACAGTTTTTGTTGAAGTGTGAATTTTCAAGCAAATAAGAGTTCTCTTTTCTCTTTTAGATGGAACATACTGGATTAAATCCTTTAATAATTTCTTTAGGTTAAATATGCAGTTTCCATAAGTATAAACATTTTATTTCAATTAAAAGTAGCAGAAATACAAAATAAGTTCTGATAATTATAAAGCAGAGACATGAAAAATTCCACCTTAATTTTCAGATCTTTAAAATCTTGAGCATCATTCAGCTCTGATGGATTTTTATGTAAACAACTGGGAATTTACACATGACAGTACTATCGTGGCAATTTTCCCAAATGCAACCCCAATTACCATATATTAAATTCTCAGTAATATTTTCTTCAGGGTGCTGTTACCATAAGAGCACTGAACTACACTGCAATTAAAAAAAGACTATACAAACTAAATTGTACTGTCTTCAATGTCTCAGACTACTACTTTCATCGACCTGATAAAAAATAAGAATTGCAATAGTGAATATACCTTAGTTCTCTTTACATGATTCAATAGGAGACAGGTATCTAACTTCAACCTTCATTCTTAAGCATGAGCATCTTCATGCTAAGTTAGTAATTTCTTAAAAGCTTTATTCTTTCATAACATCTGGGCAACAATAAACATTTAAACTCACAAATAATGCAGAATTAAAATCTGTTACGGTGACATGATTCATCTGGTAACAGTTGCCCAAGATGTACAGGAGAGTCACAACACAAGCAGGTTTAACTTACAACATGCTCTGCCAGAAAGACAAACGTAACGTAAATATTTCAGATTATAACAGCCTACCATTCCACTCAATGAGTTTATGTCCCTCTTAGCAAAGACATCTCACAGTACTGACAGCCTAATCGTTAATCATCTGTATGTACTTTAATACAATGTGGCCCCTAAATGCAAGCCAACTCCACATATACACAAAACCATGTAAATGATACTTCTAAAGTAATTTAGGGTAATTCTGACTATATACAATTCTCACTGAACACCCTGACTTGAGCACCAGATTCCAATGAAGCATTTTTTTAGAGATTTAATTCTGTTCTGATGGTTGTGTTTAGGGTCCTGGAGACTGGTGTCCTCATTTGAAGAGTTGATTGTGTGGTAAATATAAAATCCGGTAATTGCTAAGATTTCCCCGTCACTGAAGTTGTGTTGTCTTGATAGGGATAATACTATTAAAGTCCAAGAAAAAAGGTCCTTCTTGTTTAGGCAAAAAAGTACTGGGAATGATATTGTAAATCCCAGCAGGTATATTTTCTAGTTCCAGGTAGCAAAACCCACACCTACATTCAGGGAAAATAAAAGCAAGCTTTACACATGATGCCACAAATAACAAAGTATAAACCAGATATAATCAAAATGCCAACATTACCTGTAGTCACCACTAGATTTCCTCTGAAAGCCATGGGGACCAGGATCTCCTACCATAGAAACTGTTACAACTTCAAAGCCAACACTATATTGCCTAGCGGTAAAAAGGAACAGAATTTACTGCCACGTAGTCTCAAATACATACCTAAAAATAAGTATACACTCAAAGTTCAGATATACTATTAAAATCAAGTATACACTTTCTAAAGCTTCAATAGGAAGAAACACTCTGAAATACACGCATACTATTTTTACTGTTAATTACAAAAAACCAATTCTATTTAATTGAAGCCATAAGAATTAATATTAAACTTTCTTTAGAAGAGACTGTATTTTTACCACAGGGTCCCAGATAATAATGTTAAATTTAGATGATAAAATACTGTCATTGTATTAAGCAGAAAAGGTGGGACAGGAGCGCAAACCCCGAAATAAAATCTAAATTTATGGAAGTAGTTATCAC